ACTAAACATACATGTCTTGTCTCCTGAGATGTTAATTCCTTCATCTCTGCAGTTAGCCATATGGTCACCCTAGTATCCTCTGAGAATCAATCCTTAGACTAAAATCCACTTCATTTACTGCAGTCATAATTTTTTTTCAAGTTGTGTTACTAAAACTGCTATTAAAAAATATCTATCTATCTATCTATCTATCTATCTATCTATCTATCTATCTAAAGTCAAAAGCATTCAGAGTACCAGATTCAGCAATTTGTGTGGTGATGTTTTGGCCAATTCTGCCTTTAACAGTATAATCTTTGTATGAGCTATTTTTTTTTAATTCTTTTTATTGTGGTAAAATAAATATAGCATAAAAATTGTTATTTTAACCATTTTAAGTGTAAAATTCAGTGACGTTAATTACATTCACATTGTTGTACCATCACCACTGCTACGTATTTCTGACATTTTTCATCATCCCAAATAAGCTCTATACCTATTAAGCAATAACTCCCTATTTTCTCCACCCCTCAGCCCCTGGTAGCCTGTAATCTACTCTTTGTCTCTATGAATCTGCCTATTTTAGGTATTTTATATAAGTGAAATCATACAGTATTTGTCCTTTTGTGTCTGGTTTATTTCCCTTAGCATAATGTTTTTAAGGTTCATCCATATAGAAGCATGTATCAGACCTTGATTCTTTTCTATGGATCAATAAAATATTCATACACACACACACACACACACACACTACATTTTGTGTATTCATTCATCTGTTGTTGCATGCTTGGCTTGTTTCCACCTTTTGACTATTGTGAGTAATGCTGCTATGAACATTCTTGTGCAAGTATCTGAGTCCCTGATTTCAATTCTTTGGGGCATATACATAGAAGTGGAAATGTTGGGTCATGTAATGTTTAACCTTTTGAGGAAACAGCAAACTATTTTCTATTTTGTTCTTTTTAATGCTATTGTAAATGGAATTGTTTCCTTAATTTCACTAGATCTTTTGTTTTGTATCCTGCTTTTTTTTAAATTAACATATAATGTATTATTTGTTTCAGGGGTACAGGTCTTTGATTAGGAGCTATTATTTTCATATTGAAAATGTTCATTGTACTCTTGGGGGGGATATAAATGACTACATTTTAGGAGATGGAGTCTTGCTGGTGACACCCAGAGCTGTGAAGTATAGCTACTCCCCCAATTACAGCCATACTGCTTCATTATTAGAGGATTAGGTATGAAGTTCAGAAAAACACTGTACACTTCAGTTCTTTCTATTCTTAGGAATACTTTTCTTGTTTCCTTTTATAGCCTCCATGCATTTGAATTTCAAAGGGAGGAATGTTGAATTGCAAGCCTCCGGTGCTGAGCACTTACAAAAAAGCATGGACAGACTGCCTTCCTGAGGTAGTCTGGGAAAATGGCACATTTGAGAACCCCCAAATCATTTCATTAACACACATTTTAGGAGGCTCATTCTAACTCTGCTGTTAGCACTTCACCTTGTGTTTGCAATGCTTATAAAAGCAAATTAATAAGGATTCAAATTCAGCAGATCTCGAATCGTGTCTTCATATGATTTTCACAAGCAGAAACAACATGAACCTCTTTTGAGGCTGTTGGAGTTATGGAAGCCAGAAAACTAGGAGTTATATGCCTCTCCCTCTTTCTCAGTTTTTCTCACTTTTAATTGGTCACTAATTCCTATGGATTTGACTTTTTTAAATATCACCTTAATTTAATGTTCACCCTTTTCTATCCCCATCACTAATATACCCTTAGCCTTTCTCTCTGGGTTGGCTACAAATGGCCACCTATTGGATTTCTTTGTTTTTGCTTTGTCTTCCTACAACCCATCTTTCATACACTTCTCAGTGAGCTTTCTCAAGTGTGAAATTGACTAATATCACTCCATCCATAAATGTGTGTTCACATCCATTGCCTATGGGTTAAAAGCCAGGTTCCTCAACATGGTACACCAGGCCCTTTAAGATCTGGGGCTTGATTACCACCAGCCTCCTCCTCTGCTGTATTTAAACCGTACTTATAATTTTCTGAATGCGGCATGCTGGGCCTTTTCATTCCATTTGCCTGGAATGCATCACCCCATCCCACTTGCCTGACATCATCCTTTAAAATTCATTTTAACTATCGTCTCTTGGGGGAGCCTTCTCTAACTTACCCTCCCCCTTCTGGATTTATCTTACCACCCACATTTTCCTACAGTAAGGATGAAATATCTTTTCTCTGTGCTCCCAAAGGACTGTATTTGGCTGGCTTATCACTCTATTGTCTCTCTGTATTGTACTTTTTAGCTTAACTATCTTTTTTTCTGCCAAATTTTTCCTAGAGGTCAAGGACTATTATTAATTTACTTTCTAAGTAGAGGACTAAGTAAAGCACCAATAAATGCTTCTTTAAAAACAAACAAACAAACAAGCACACTTTTTTTTTTTTTTTTTAAGTAGGCTCCATGCTGGGCATGGAGACTGACAAGGGGCTTGAACTCAATGACCCTGAGATCAAGACCTGAGCTGATCAAGAGTCATATGCTTAACCAACTGAGTCACCCAGGCACTCCTTAAAATTTTTTTGGTTATTTTGAAATAACTTCACACTTACATAAAAGTCAAATATAATAAAAAAAATTACTGTGTACTCTTATCCCAGATTCTTCAACTGGTAACATTTTAGCATATTTGCTTTATCACTTTCTCTATGTTTTATATATATATAACTTTACAGATGTGTTCTTTATGATTTAATATATGATCAATATTTGTGACTATTCCATGCATTCTTAAGTTATATTTCCCATTAACAGAGTATAATGTTAAATATATGTACATATCCATAATCTACTTTATCAATTTTGTTGTTTGAGTCTTTCTTTTCTTCCTTTTGTCCACCTGATCTGTTTTTATACTGAGAAAGGTATCTTATAGTCTCTTATTGTTAGTGTATTCCTATGTATTTCCTTACATTGCCTATAGTTTTTGCCTTATAAAAGTGGTTGTAGTTTCATTTGGGGGCATTTCTTAAACTATTACCTTCATTTTGAATTGCAGCCCTCAGCATTAAGAATTTTCCTTGTATGCTCTTTGGCACACATTCTACGATTTCTGATATCAGGATTACTACCTCTGTTTTCTTATTGTTTCCTAAACTCTGCCACCCAGATTATCTTTTTTTGAGAATTTGAAGTAATGGACACAGAAACTTAATCAGATAGTATGGGACATTGGAGCTGTTAAATCTTGTAGAGTTGAGACCAGAGTGTCATGAAAACCGAAGGTATGGAGGAACAGAAACTAAGATGCTCACAGAGGCAACTGAAATGTGAACAGCATTGAGCAAAGAGAAGTAGAGATGGTGTCTTTGGGGGGAATGACAGAATGAGACATGAAAAGAGAACCAAAGACACTAATATACACAGTTTCTGATGACTGTCCAATTCTTAGGAGACCATCTTGAAAAACTTCCAAAGATATTCAACGTATCTTTCTATCATTATAATAAATTTCCTATTTTCCTTGAGCTGTTTTTGGTGTGATTTTCTGTTTCTTACAATGAATTTATCTTTAAGATCAATCAATTAATGAGTGTCTTGAATATAGTAGGCTTTAAAAGATATTTATTATCCTGATGTTATTATTCAGATACACTATGATGTGGGACTATAAAGTGGGGGGTATTCATAGAAGTGCCTTGAGATGATTTAACAGTATAAAATTATTAAATCTATTTTAAGAATTTTGGATCTAGAAGGGGCCTATAAGGAGTATCTAGTCAAATTCTCTAATTTCACAGAATAGAGGCTAAGGGAAAATGATTTAACAGTATAAAATTATTAAATCTATTTTAAGAATTTTGGATCTAGAAGGGGCCTATAAGGAGTATCTAGTCAAATTCTCTAATTTCACAGAAGAGAGGCTAAGGGAAAATGATTTACCCCATTGAAATTAGAACTGTGGTCTCCTGATACCCACTCCAGTTTTCATTTGACTACTTGTACTGGGTTGAATAGTGCCTCCCCAGCCACACCCCATTCATGTCCACCTGGAACGTCAGAATGTGACCTTATTTGGACCAGCATCTTTATGTACTTATGTAATCAAGTTAAGATGAGTCATAGTGAATGACGGTGGGCTCTAATCTGATAAGACTGGTGTCCTTATAAGAAGGAAAAACAGAGACACAGAGACACATGGGGAGAATTCTATGTGGTGATAGCGGCAAAATTTGGATTGATGCAGTGGTAATCCAAGGAATGCCAAGGACTGATGGCTACGACCCAAAACTAAAAAGAGGCAGGGAGGGATTCTCCCCTCCAGGTCTCAGAGGTGCATGGCTCTACCAACACTCTGCTTTTGGACTTCTAGCCTCTAGAATGGTGAGAATTTCTATTATTTTAAGCCACCCAGTTTATAGTATTTTATTATGGTAGGCCTAGGAAACTGAAATACTACCACATACTATTTCTTTTAGTATAAAGAGATTCTTCTCTGAATATCATTGAGAATTATACAGAAAGTTGTATTCTTTACAATTGAAAGAGTTTTTCCTGTTGAGTACAGTAGTCTTTTTTACTCTTCTGTGTGCTTAGATATACTCTTATGTCACCTAGGAAGTTACTGTATTGTCATATCCTAGGATTTTCAAAGAAATATGTCAGTAAAAAATTTTTGCTTTTCTTTTTAGAGATAATTAATGGTGGTAGGTGTATGAAATATGTTTGTGTATGTGTATCTTACGGATTTTTCTGTTATACAGATATTCTTTTTCTTTTTTTTTAAATTTTATTTATTTATTTGACAGAGAGACAGTGAGAGAGGGAACACAGCAGGGGGAGTGGGAGAGGGAGAAGCAGGCTTCCCGTGGAGCAGGGAGCCCGATGTGGGTCTCAATCCCAGGACCCTGGGATCATGACCTGAGCCAAAGGCAGACGCTTAACAACTGAGCCACCCAGGCACCTGTTATACAGATATTCTGAAGTATTCTACTCTTGCTTTCAGATTGCTGAAGCTAAAGGAGATGTTTAACTCTAAGTTTGGATCCATTCCCAAGTTTTATGTTCGAGCACCAGGAAGAGTCAACATAATAGGTATTGCAAAAGTTCCTTCTCTTAATTTTTTCCTCCTTTGGTAAAATCTAAATTTTTACCGATACACTTTTTTTTCTTAACGTTTACCAAGAGAACTGAAAAAAGGGAGTATTTCACATGTATCTACTGTAGCAAGTTAAGCTTTTGCATAAGGAACACGCTATATTTTCATTTTTCCCAATCCATGTGATTAATGTTAATTTTGTCCATTTATTTAAAAAATTTGTTGAAAACTGGTTGTTAATATTGTTTTCATGAGAGATGAGAAGATTTTTTTTTGTGTGTGCTGCAGGTTAAATTTTTAGATTGTGGTGAATAATCTTGATGGTTTTACATTTACTCATTGGATTAGAAGAATACTGGGAAGCCCTTTTAAAAGTGTGGTGACCTGAAGAATGAGTAGGTTCTATCAAGAGGAAATGGTATGGGGAACTGAGGAAAAACTAGGAGTCAAGGGAGAATTGAAAAGAAAACTTTCTATAATGGAAAATGTAAACATACAAAAAAGTTGTTGGAATAATATAATGAAGTCCCATGTACCCAACATCTAGCTTCAGTTTTTATCAACTCAGGCAACTTATTTTATTTTGAAGCAAATAATGGAGGATTTAAAAAAAAAAAAAGACGTTTGAGCATGGTTAAATGACAGAAGGAGGGGGAATGGAGTAAAGATAGTGGAGAGAGAGATTACAGATAACTGAGAAGAGAGGAACTGATGGAGCAGATTTCCTGAGAAGACAAGAGAGGCCGGTATCTAGGGCATCAGAAGAGGGCCACTTTGACTCTTTTCAACAGCCGGCAAGGAAAAAAAAGTGATGCAGATTCATGTAGATAAATGTATAACTTTCTACCTGTGAACCACTGTTTTACTTTTTTTTATTGTTATGTTAATCACCATACATTACATCATTAATGAACCACTGTTTTATATTAGTGTCTTTTTTGAAGGAAGTTGGTGAGAAAGACAGCTTTGAAAACCACTTTTCCATCTGTCATTGTCAATCCATAAAACCCCTTATCATTTCATTTTAAAGGACACATCAGCATAGAAGAAAAGACTTGCTACCTGTAATAATATGTAGAATAATAATCATTTAAAAACATAATTGTAATTATGCAGCTGAGTTGTCTCCCATTCATTTTGTGTTTCTTAGTTGGGCACTGTTTGCCATAGGAACAATCAAGCATGAAAACCTGTCCTGGGGAAATATAAATGAGCTTGCTTATTGTGCTTCTTTCTTTCTTGAATTGTTATTTTGTATTTAAATCTTATGAATAGCAACCTTGAGTTTAAATAACAACTTGGAGAAAGTATTATGGTATAATAGGAAATAAAATTCCTGCTGATGATTCATAGAGGAATTAGAATGCATAGAAGGGAAGTTTGCTTCCCATATTTGCTTATTATATATAAAATAGTGCAGATTAGAATTTTTTCTTTCTAGCTTCTTTTTCTTTATCCTAGCTATGTCTAGCACACTCAGCACAACTTACCAATGCCAGTCTAATTTGTTAGGCATTTAGTTAGGCCACAAATATAAATAAAGTCCTCAACTTCGTGGGCACATTGGCTTAATAAGGAAGAGAGTGAGGTTCACATAATGTTAATAGAAGGCAGAGTGTGCTAAAGGCTTCAATTGTTCATATTTAAGAAGGTAATATGAAAGAGCAAGAGAGAAAGGAGATACTACTTTTTTTGATACTTCATATAACTAGTCACAAAACAAAATATTTGAAGATGATCACTATGAATTAGAAAGTAGAAAAAAACTTGTGAAGATTTAAAGAAATCTAAAAATTAACAGAAGCTAATTAATATACTTATTCTAGCAGAAGTTTCTGGCTCAGATGTCTGGGAGAATAAGAGAACTGAATCATTTCCTGTGCAGAGTATTTTTATTTTCTGCTAAAACCTGGCTTGTGGTCAAGTTCTTCCTGTATGTCGACCTACTTGAGTTTCTCTTGTTTCATATGCTAGCAATATTAAAAATTCTTTCTCTTTTTCTCCAGGAGAACATATAGATTATTGTGGATATTCTGTTCTTCCTATGGCTGTAGAACAAGATATGTTAATAGCTGTGGAACCTGTGAAAACACAAACTCTTCAACTAGCCAACACAAATCCCTTGTACCCGTGAGTATTTAGGATTGCTACTGTGTGTAATGGTGTGTATGTGTGTATGGTGTGTGTGTGTGTGTGTGTATGACTATTCTTATCCAAATGAACTCTTTAGAAGAAATCAAATTTGTAATAAATCACTGAATTTATTGAAAATCTGTATCTGACTTCCAAAAGAGTCTAAGCTACTTTTTAATATTTGTTCCTTTTTGTTCTTGCGCTCATTCATTTAAGAAACATTTCCTGAAGACTTACCATGTGTCTGACATTATTTTAGATACTGGGCCATACAAAAATGAAGATAACTCTGTCCTTGTCCAGAAGGTATTTATCATCTGTTCAGGTAGCTGTCTTCAGCAAAGTCAGCGGTGGCGCCTTTCTTATCTTACTAGGGCACCCTCTAATTCTCTCTTCATAACATCTTATCACGCTGTGTTACAATTACTTGCTTACTTGCCTGTATTCCCCCAGTAGATTGTAAACTCTGTACCTTCAGGTACTGTAGCCTCTCCAATGCTGTGAGGCTCAGTGTCAAACTTCGAGTCTGGTGCATAATAGATACCAGTTTCTAGTAACGTATGCTTTATCAAGTCAAAGACATACTTTTTTGTTTCCTGTTGTTTTTGAATTCTTAGTTTGCTAAGATTAAAAGAAATTTATTAATCTGTTAATTAAATTTTATTTTATATCTATTTAATTTTGAAGAACAGTTTAAAAAATATGAATTACATGGATGGATTTTCTAATGTTGAACTGTTTTTGCATTCCTGGGATGAGTCCTACTTGCTTATAGTATAGTATGATAGACTTCATTTGCTAATTACAAAAAGAGATTTGGGCATATGATTGGCACCTTTTATTTTTGGCTTATCGTTCATTGGCTAGTTTGCCTGCAGTAATGTTTGTTCATTCAGGATATATTTTTTGTGTGCCTTTAATAAGGTACAATACCAGGCTGTGCAAAATACAGAAATTTCTGACTTCTATATTGAATCCTTTAAAGAAAACTTTACATCATCTCAAACACATTTTTTTGTTTGTGGTCAAAACATGTTTTTTTTAAGTAAATTTTTTAAAAATTCACTTATAGGATGCCTGGGTGGCTCAGATGGTTGAGCGTCTGCCTTCGGCTCAGGTCATGATCCCGGGGTCCTGGGATCGAGTCCCACATCGGGCTCCCTGCTGGGTGGGGAGCCTGCTTCTGCCTCTGCCTCTCTCTCTCTTTCTCTCTCTGACTCTCATGAATAAATAAATAAAACACTTAAAAAAATTAAAAAAAATTCACATATAATGTGTTATTTGTTTCAGGGGTACAAGTCTGTGATTCATCAGTCTTACACAATTCACAGCACTCACCATAGCACATACCCTCCCCAATGTCCATCCCCCAGCCACCCCATCCCTCTCACCCCCCTCCACTCCAGCAACCCTGTTTGTTTCCTGAGATTAAGAGTCTCTTATGGTTTGTCACCCTCTCTGGTTTCATCTTGTTACATTTTTCCCTCCCTTCCCCTAAGATCCTCTGTCTTGTTTCTCAAATTTCTCATATCAGTGAGATCATATGATACTTGTCTTTCTTGGATTGATTTATTTCGCTTAGTGTAATACCCTCTAGTTCATCCGCATTGTTGCAAATGGCAAGATTTCATTTTTTTGATGGGTGCATAATATTCCATTGTGTGTGTGTGTGTGTATATATATATACACCACATCTTCTTTATCCATTCATCTGTTGATGTACATCTAGGCTCTTTCCATAGTTTGGCTATTGTAGACATTGCTGCTATAAACATTGGGATCACTACATTTGTATCTTTGGGGTAAATACCCAGTAGTGCAATTGCTGGGTTGTAGGGTAGCTCTATTTTCAACTTTTTGAGGAACCTCCGTAGTGTTTTCCAGAGTGGCTGCACCAGCTTGCATTCCCACCAACAGTGTAGGAGGGTTCCCCTTTCTCTGCATCCTTGCCAACATCTGTCATCAAACACAATTTTGTGTCATTATTTGTAAAAATTTAAAATTGGCTACATAATAATTTGTCATATTGATTTATTCAAATTCACTTAACCATTCACACCATCATGAATGTATGGTTTCAGTTTCATTTTTTCACAAAAGCAGAGACGGAGACAGACTTGAATGAAGGTAGAGTATTTAGGATATGATCCCCAGCTGTGGTACTGAAACAACATGGAGAATGATTTAGGGAAGCAGAGATGAATTACTAAGGTAGGTAGCCCCTGCTGTAGGAAAGGGGCTTCATTCTACCAGGAGTCCTAGGAAGTATGCAGCATGAATTGTCCACATGTAGTGTAGCATTCATTGCATGAGATACTATAATTTATCTACTCACCATTGATGGGCATTTAGATCATTTCTAGCTTTTGGCTATTATGAATAATGGTGTCGTGGATATTTATAGACATATCTATGTATGGACATGTATTTCATTTTTCTTGGGTAAATATCTAGGACTATCTGGTTTACCTTTTTAAGAATTTTCCCGACTGTTTTCCAAAATGGTTGTACCATTTTTTATTCCTGCCACCAGTGTATGAGAGTTCCATTTGCTCTACATTTTTGCTAACAAGTCTTTTTAAATTTTAGCCGCTCTCATAAATGTATACTAGTACCACATTGTGGTTTTTTATTTTAGTTTCTCTAACTAATGATGTTGAACATCTTTTCATATACTTGTCACCTAGATATCTTCTTTGTTGAAGGGCCTGTTCAAATCTTTTGCCCATTTTTAAGCAGGGTTTTCATCTATTATTGACCTATAAGATTTTCTTTTATTTTTTTTATTTTTAAGATTTTATTTATTTATTTATTTGAGAGAAAGAGAGAGATAGAGAAACAGCATGAGAGGGGAGAGGGTCAGAGGGAGAAGCAGGCTCCCCGCCAAGCCGGGAGCCCGATGTGGGACTTGATCCCAGGACTCCGGGATCATGACCTGAGCCGAAGGCAGTCGCTTAACCAACTGAGCCACCCAGGCGCCCAAGATTCTCTTTTATGTTGTAGATACCAAGTCCTTTGTTAGATTAATGTTTTGCAAATATTTTCATCCAGTCTGTGACTTGGATTTTCATTTTTTTTACCATGTCTTTTGAAGAAGAATAATTTTTAATTTTGATCAAGTCCAATTTATTGATTTCTTTCATGGTTTTTAGTTTTTTAAAAAAGATTTAATTAATTTATTTGATATAGAGAGTGAGAGAGAGAACACAAGTGGAGGGGGAGGGGTAAAGGGAGAGGGAGAAGGCTCCCTGCTGAGCAGGGAGCCCCAGTGGAGCTTGATCCCAGGACCCTGGGATCATGACCTGAGCTGAAGGCAGATGCTTAACTGATTGAGCCACCCAGGTACCCCTTACGGTTTATAGTTTTTGACTTTTTAAGAAACCTTTGCCAAACCCAAGGCACTAAAAGTTTTTCCAGTGTTTTCTTCTAGAAATTTTGTAATTTTAGGACTTACATTTAGGTCTATGATCCAGTTTGAATTAATTTTTATATGTGGCATGAAATAAGGGTTGAGGTTTATTTTTTTTTGCTCATAGCTATCCAGTTCTTTTCTACCATTTGTTGGAAAGATCTTTTCCCATTGAATTATCTTGACAAACTTTGTTGAAAAGCAGGTGGCAATAAATGTCTATTTCTGGACTCTGTTCTGTTTATTGAGGTATTTTATTTGTCTGTCTTTTTAAATAAGATTTATTTCTTTATTAAAGAGAGAACGAGAGCACGTGCATGAGCAGCAGGAGGGTCAGAGGGAGAGGGAGAGAATCTCAAGCAGACTTCCTGCTGAGTGCTGAGCTCCACTCAGGGCTCAATGTCATAACCCCGTGATCATAACCTGAGCTGAAATCAAGAGTCAGACACTTAACCGACTGAGCCACCCAGGCACCCCATGTATCTGTTTATCTTTATGCCAAAATCACACTATCTGAAAACCATAGCTTTTTTAAAATTTTTAATTTTTTTGTTTGAGTACAGTTGATATACAATGTTACATTAGTTTTAGGTGTACAACATAGTGATTCAATTTCTCTATACCTTATGTTATGCTCACAAGTGTTGCTACCATCTGTCACCATACAATGCTATTACAGTATCATTGACTATATACCCTATGCTGTGCCTTTTATTCCAGTGACTTATTCATTCCATAACTGGAAGCTTATATCTCCCACTCTCCTTCATCCATTTTGCCCATCCCCCCACTCCCTTCCTTCTGGCAACCATCAGTTTGTTCTCTGTATTTATAGATCTGATTCTGCTTTTTGTTTGTTTGTTTATTCCATTTGTTTTAATTTTTAGATCCCACATATGAGTGAAATCATATGGTCTTTGTCCTTCTCAGTCTGACTTATTTCATTCATCATAATACCTTCTATGTCCACCCATGTTGCACACATGGCAAGATCTCATCTGTTTTATGGCTGAGTAATACTCTGTTGTAAAAATACTACATTTTCCTTATCCATTGATCTATCATTGGACACTTAGGTCGCTGCCATATCTTGACTATTGTAAATAGTGCTGCAATAAAACATAAGGGTGCATATATCTTTTTGAATTAGTGTTTTCATTTCCTGTGAGTAAATACCTAGTAGTGGAATTTCTGCATTGTATGATGTTTCTATGTTTAATTTTTTGATTTTTTAATTTACTTTTTTCCCCAGCTGTACCAATTTATTTTCCCACCAACAGTGCATGAGCTGTATCAATTTATTTTCCCACCAACAATGCATCCCCAACAGTGGATGGAGATACAGGCAAGGAACTCAGGGCCTAGCGCCTCCAGAGACCTTACTTCAGGGTCCCCCGTCTCCCCACCAGCCTCAGGGAATGGCTCTGTCTAGGCAAGGCCACCAGTGCAGGAGGAGCCAGCAGCCTCAAAGTCATTCCAGGATTGAGAGAAGAGGTTCACTCTATCTATAGGTCTTTTTGTGGCCCCTGGTGGGCTGACCCCAGGCCAGCAGATGTGGATGTGGTCGGGAAGGTGTAAGGAGTAGTGC